ACATTCTGGGGGGCTGTGGGATGTTGGGGGGCTGGTGGTACGTCTGCTGCAGGACCCCCATGAAATGCTGTGTGCAGAAGAGAGCTCTTCTAGGCCATGTTAATGGTGTGTGACAGTTCCTGGGGTGACAAAGGGGGTCCCTGGGGAGCGTGGGGGCACCCAGTCAGTCCCATAGCCACGTTGTCGTGTGTCACCATGTCCCCTCCTCCAGGAAACCCACTTTGCTGCAGCCAAAATCAGCCCCCAGCCCTGCCACCCCTGGCTCAGGCAGTGAGACCCCCACAAAAGGGGTTTTCTGCTGCTCTGAGCCCTCAGCTCATCCTCACACATGGGGACATGTCCTGGGCTGCGAGCCCCCCACCTTGGCGTTGCTCTGGGGCGATGGAGGGGCCTCCGTGCTGCCCCGAGGGGGTACCCCAAAAGTGCGTGGGACATTGGAGGAGCAGCCCAGCACCTGGATGCTCCCCCCCTTGTGCAGTGTCACTGGGTCCTGTGCATCCCAAAGTCCCGGGTGGGCAGTGGGAGGGGGGTCCCGTGGTGCCCCCTGGCCTGGGAGCCTCACAGGGTCCCACCGGGGCGCGGGTGTCCCGGTGCCAGGGGGTGCAGCTGGGCAGAGCCAGCCCCCCCGGGGACGTGGAGGTTTGTTTTATCACGCACGGAAAGAGCCCATCTCAGCATTTTCGGGCAGCGGCAGGGGCCGGGCTGTCGGGGGGATCAAGTCCCTGGCTCTAAAACTCCTGAAGCAGGGGCTGGCGGGGGCTTTGTGTGCGCGGCCGCGCCGGGCCTTGGCATGCATTCGGCTGATGCATGCAAACTCCAAATCTCCTTGCCAACAAACCCAACAAAGCGGGCGACCCGAATGTGAAAGCTAATGAAATAACTCCCCGACTTGGTGTTTGGGCAGACAAAGGCCGCGGCCGATCAGCTGACCTTGGTTTTCATTGGGTTTTAATCCAGCATTCTCGCTTTGAATCACGCTTTAACTATTTTGTAAATAGTTTTGGCACCGTTCTTCTGCGGCCCGGTATAAATTCATCTCCCAGCCCCAGCCCGTCACTGGCTCAAGCGGGTACTGGTACAACTGGTAAGACTTTGCTATTTATTGTCCTCTTTTTTTTTTTTTTAGTCGTTGTCTCCTCTGGAGCCCTGGAGCCACAGCTCCCTCCTGGAGGTGGCAGTGGGATGGGGACACAGCAGGGCGAGCCGTGGGGACAGTCCTGTCCCTGCAGCCCCAGCTGGGTGGCTGGCTTGGGAATATTGCCCCCCGGCTATGGCTTGGGTTTTGTTTCATTGGGAATGAGCTGTTTTCACTTGGTTTTGTGCTGGCTCAAATGTGGGGGGTTCTGCTGGGCTCGAGGATGGGGGTCCTTGGTGGAGGCAGATGCTGGGAGGGCTCAGCATCACCAATGTGGCTGCAGGGCCAGGTTGACAGTGGGAGCCTGGTGCTTCTCCCTATTGCCCCATTAGGGCAGGGGACAAGAACACCTTGGCTGTTACTTGCTGGGCAGGGACAAGGGGAAAAGCCTTGGCTCTGCCCTGGGAATAACTTGGGAATGCCCTGGATCCCCTCACTCTGAGGATGCTGCCCTGGGACCCTCACCTGGGATCCTGAGCATCCCGTAAGGGTGGGCTGCAGGGTACGGATGAGGGGCACAGAGCAGGGCTGGGGGCAGAGTCCCGGGTGCATCCTCAGCTTTTAACCTGCCCAGTTTTCCTCCCAAGGCAGCGGACAACCCAGCTTATGATGGCTTCCGAGCACCAAATGCCAGCCTCCAAGCAGCAGCAAGCCAGCTCCAAGGTCAGCGTGGGGATGCTCTGTAGTGGACAAGGGAAAGGGGAGCAGGGTGGGAAATTTTGCTGGTGGAGCGGGTGGGAAGGGATCAACCCCTCATCCCCCACCATCTCTGCAGACACAGCAGATCTGCCCCGCCACCCCACTGACCCCAAAATTGGTGCTGAGCTGGTGGTGCTGGGTGCGATACTTGAGTCTGGGGGGCACTGGGGGGCATCCTGGAGCAAAAGCTGCTTGCCCAGAGGGATGGAGATGTTGGCTCATGCTCACTAAAAGCCACTGACACACAGGTTTTGGAGGGCAGCACAGGGTCTGGGACACAGCAGACATGGGGCTGGGGACGGTGTGTGCCACCCATGGCGGTGCTGGGGGCGATGTGCCCCGCTCCAAGCCCCCCTGCTCTTTTGCAGATCGCCATCTTCGAGCAGGAGAACTTCCAGGGCCGCTGCCATGAGCTGAGCGGCGCCTGCCCCAACCTGAAGGAAGCCGGTGTGGACAAAGTGGGCTCCATCCTCGTCCACTCTTACGTTCCATGAGAGGGCCGGGGGGGCGCGGGGAGGCGGTTGCTGGGACATGGAGGGGGTCTCTCCGCTGCTGGCACCCTTCATGTGGCTGCTTGCACACCTCGCTCCCATGGGTGCCTGGGGGTGCCAGCAGGCGAGGGGGGGGTGACAGCATCCCTTGGGTGCGCTGGTATCCCCCAACCCTGCTTGGTGGCAGAGATGGGTGTGGGTTTGGGCACGGGTGGCAGCATCACCCCAGTTTGGTTTCCTTCCTTTTGGGTGCAGGGGCTCTGCGCAATGGGGAGCCCCTGGAAAGCTGTGAGGTGGTTCCTTGCAACCCGGGAAGTGTGGG